TAAGACTTTGCGCAACCTGCAAGTTGTTAAAAATCTGCCACAAAAAGAATTTGATTTTCAAAGGCAATTTGGCTTTCCAAATATATCTAGCCATCCTACTAGCCACCCCACAATCTGTCAAGAACCTATATAGGGATTTAGTTGTGAACTTTTTACTGCTTTCAAGAGCCCAAACGACAGAATAATGATTAGAGTTGAGGCTTATAGCCTAAAGATCTTTTAGCAGACCCAACCATCTATTATATTCATCCACAGAGAGAGTTCTCCTAAACTCTATTACCCATTGATCCTCATCAAGGCAATCTGCAACTGAGATGTTAGGTTCTCTAACCATTTTAAATAGATCTTCATACAGGATACATAGAGGAACATCATGTAGCCAACAATCAGTCTAGAACTTGCAGTTATTCCCATTTCCAATTCTAAAAATCGCCCCCCATTTAAACAGATGTTTGATCTTATGGAGACCCTGCCAGAACTGGGAACTCCCTTTTATATTTGAGTCAAAGAAGCTTCCCTCCGACATATACTTAGCCTTGACCAGCTTAAACCATAGCTCATCAGGTTCCTGAAACATTTTCCATATCCATTTGACTAGCAAACAATCATTCATAATTCTAGTGTTTATAATCCCCAAGCCCCTTGGTCTTTTGGTCGAGTGACCATTTCCCATTTAGCCATATGGTATTTAAAATTGTCATCAGCTCCTTGCCAAATGAATTTAGCTCTAATACTATCCATTTATTTATGCACCCCATCCTGAAGATAATAGAAGCCCATGCAATAGATAGGGATACTGCTCAAGCAAGAGTTGGTAAGAATATGTTTGCCCCCAGATGTTAAATTGTAACACCCTAAAAATTGCTCCTTTTGAAATAGAGAGAAATTGAATTAATTTTGAATTTGTGTGCTCATGAAAACATAGGAAAAATAATAATTTTCATTAAATTAAAATTTATCATAAGGCTTAGCAACATTTTTGTGCATTCATGCCGACACATATGTTTTATTGTACCATGTGGATTTGACCAAAGTTCAAATTATTTCAAACTAAGTTTGAAAATGGATTTGAAAATAGAATTCAGAAAAAGAAAAGAAATAACAAGGAAAAAAGAACTCTCCCTCTCATTTTTGGCCCAGCTTGGTTTTCTCTCTCTCCACGGCCCAACGCACCGCTGCGGCCTAGCCTTCTCCACTGCCTCCTCACTCCTTTCCCGCTTGGGCCAGAGCGTCGCAGGCCTAGCTCTTTCTGTGGGCCGAAGCCCAGCAGCGCGACGCTCGCGTCCTTTCTCCTCGCTCCCTCGCTGGCGAGCCAGCCCCGCTTGTCAGCTGCATCGCCTTCTTCCTCCCTGAGCCATCGCCGACCCGGACTCCCCGCCACGCCGAGAGCCCACCGCCGCCATGACTTCGCCATTTGTCGTGCGCCCCACGTCTCCCTGGCCTTAAATACCTAGCCTGCACCGTGCCACCTCCATCGCGAGCCTCGGAGCAAGGTCCTATCTCACCGAGCCGAGCTCGAAACCCTAGCCGCCGTGCTCGTCGTCCGCCCGCCAAGCCGCGCGTCGCCTTTGTGCCGTCTTCGACCGCGAAAAGCGTCGTGGTGAGTTCACCGTCTTCTCCTCTTGTTCCCTGTGCTCTCGGCTCGTCAAACTGTGGCCTCTAGGGCCCAAACCGAGCGCTCCGGCAAGCTTCTTGCCACCGATGATGGATTTCTGCCGCGCCGGCTTTCTTCTCCGGCCGGTGACTCTCTCTCCCTCCCCGATTCTAATATGAGTCGTCCATCTTAGATCTAACGGCCGTGATCGCACCGTACCGATTCGGCCGATAGTTTTTCAAAAGAGCCCTCGCATTTTTGTAGATTAGAACCCGCCGTCCATGTACTTTTGCTAAAGAGACCCTCGGCTTTTGAATAATCTAACCCGCAGTCCAAGGCGCACTTCCAGAATATGTTTTCCTATCCTAAAAGCGTAGTTTCTTTCTAGTAAATTCAAAATAAGTTTTCATCTATTTATAGTTTTGCCACTATTTTCTCTAGGTCATAACTTCTCTGTTTTAACTCCGATTTGATCCGTTCAAGTTGCGTTAGATTCGTAATTGAGTAATCTACATATTTATACTACTGATAAATATGTTTTCAACTTTTGAAATTCAATGTTAGATTTAATCTATTATTTTATTAAAGAAAATCTTGGTTAATTCATAACTTCTTCGTTATAGCTCCGATTAGGGTGCTTTTCGCGTCTGTGTTTATAGCGAGACGTAGATTCGTTTTACAAACTTTTTATCTTATTTTATGTTTGGTGTATTGTTCTAATTTAGTTTTATTGTTTGCTTCGTGTATGATTGCATGGATGTTTGTGTGGTGTTCTATAATCATGTCTAGTCAGTGAGCTATACGTGGTAAATCCAGAAGCAATACATTGAAGGTTTGGACAAGAAGAATGATCTAAGTTTAAGGCAAGTATAGCATGTGATCTTCCCTGTCGTCCTATACACCTTTAATCATTTAATTCATGCTGCATGTGTCTACCTTGGCAACTGTAGTAATTTTCCTACCTAATTGATACATTTGGGTTATTGCATTGGGTAGTATGATGCTAGTACTCAACTAAAGTCATGATCTTATAACTTAACTAATGAAATATATAATAAACACTAAAAGATGCTTTTTAGTAACATGAAATCAGGGGGCTAGAGCATTGGGCTATTATTATGGTGCTCTAGATTTCTTTCCCTAAGGACTTATCAGTAAGCGAACATCTGGGACTTACAGTACAGCTATGAGGGCTACATGGCTCTGGCTTTAGCTTAGTATGAGGACCTTTTCTAGCTTGTTAGTGGTTACCTTTATTGGCGAAAGATTGGCTTGACGAGTCGGGTATAGTGCGGCCTCTGTCCTCTTGTGTATAGGCTGTGCGTCATTGTGCCATCGGGAAGGAGAGCTCTATATCTGTTTGCCGAGTGAATCTAATGGCCCTAACTTATTAGACGAACCTTTTAAAGGCTTCATAGTGAACCTTGCTGACCTTCCTTAGAAATGGGTCAAGAGATTAGTTACCTTGGGCGAAAGGGTAAATCATGACTCATAGTGAAAGTGTACAACCTCTGCAGAGTATAAAATTGTTATAATAGCCGTGCTCACGGTCACGAGCGGCCTTAGACCCTTACGGAATAGATGACGACCACTGATGATACTGATGATAAAGATGCTCACTAATGATTACTATTTATGCTATTTATTATTCATGTTTACCTGATCATGTGTTTATATGGGCTTGTGATAAATTTGTTGCTACTCAAATACTAAAATTATGACTCATTAAAAGCTAATCGCAGTTAAACCATTGTTAGCCTTTTGAGCCACATGAACCCCATGTTATATTTGTTGAGTACGACATGTACTTACGCTTTCTTTATTTTTCAAATATTTAGATAAAAATCCCATATGGGTATCAGATTGCTAGAGTTTGAAGGAAATAGGTTTGTGATCAACCAGTCAGTTGCCCTATGGAATTGGAGCCTTCACTCGAAGATCAGAGTTGTCTTTCCGCTGTTTGCTATCTAAGGTTATATTCTTTATACTAAGTATGTTATATATTAAGCATTGTCTATTGATAGTACCTTTATTTATAGCTATATGTGAGATTGGACTTCCTAGACTTACATATGTTGTGTATCTGATTTTGTCCTTAAAACCGGGTGCTACATAAATGTTTACCTTTCCAAGGGTCCAATCTCTTATAGATTTTCTGAACAATATGACTAAAACTAGCAATAGTAATTTGAGAATCACTAATAGGTATCCCCAAATACTTAATAGGTAATTCTCCTAGAGCACAATTGAGCATATTAGCCATATGTTCTTTCTCCCCTTGAGAAGCCCCAAACACATATACCTCACTCTTGTGGAAATTAATCTTCAAACCAGATAACCATTCAAAACAGTATAAAACTAGTTTCAGATTAGTGATTGAATGGTCAGGCCCATCTATTATCAGAATAGTATCATCTGCATATTGGATGTGTGAAATCCCCCTAGGAATGAGATCATCTAAAACCCCTTTAATATGATTTTTATGAACAACTTTGTCTAACATAATCCCTAAAGCATCAGCTACCAAATTAAAAAGCAGTGGGGAGAGAGGGTCGCCTTGTCTAAGCCTCCTATATGTTCTAAAATATGAGCTTCTTTCTCCATTAACGTTCACACAAACTCTACCCCCTTTAACAGTATCCATCATCCATTTGATTCATAAAGGAGGGAACCCCCTCCCTACCAAGATTTCTTCCAAAAAGTTCCATCTTACCCTGTCGTATGCTTTCTCGAAGTCAATTTTTAGAATCAAACCCCTTCTTTTAGATCTCTTCAACTCATGTAGGGCCTCATGAAGCACCACTGCCCCTTCTAAAATGTTTCTCCCTTTCACAAATCCGGTTTGATTCTTCCCAATGTATTTTTGAGCAATAGGCACCAACCTGTTTGTGAGAACCTTGGTGAACCATTTATAACCCACATTAAGGAGACATATATGTCTGAATTGTTTAATTGTATTAGCCTCCTTGAGTTTGGGAACCAATGTGATAACCCCATAATTAAGTCTTTTGATGTCAACAAACCTGCTCAATAGTCTTTGAACATAACAAGAATGTCCTCCTTGATTGATTCCCAGAAATGTTTATAAAAGGAAACTCCAAACCCATCAGGTCCAGGTACAGAAGATTCTTTCATCTCCATCATTACAGACTTAATCTCCCCCAGATCAAAGGTTTTAATCAAAGTAGCTTTATCTTCCTCTTTCAGGGAAAAGTTAACAGGCCAGAAATTACTCCCCAACTTTAAAGAGCAGGCATCACTATGACCAAACAACCTTTTGTAGTAGTCTATCACACGCGATCGATTCCAAGTAAGCAATATTATTCTTTCTCCTTCTTCCATTAGCAAATTGATGAAAGAATTTATTATTGGCATCCCCTTTCAAGATCCAATTATCACCAGCCCTCTATTTCCAATAAATTTCCTCTAAGTTATTCAGCTCCTCAAGTTGTTTCTCCAAATCAATTCTCTCCTCCCACTCTATCATATCAAGAAGTCTACTTTCAGCCAACAGATCAATCTCCTGAATTCTCTTAGTTATGCATAATTTGTTCTCCCTTTGAGTACCAATCAGATTCAAGTGCCAACCTCTCAAATACTTTCTAAGAGCTTGAAGGCATCCATTCCAAATGTCCAAAGAATATGTCTGATCTTTCAACTTAGCTCTGAAATCCTTCCATTTATCAGAAACCATACCTTGGAACCCTTCCTTGTGGAGCCATTGTTCTTGAAAGAAGAAGTATTTTGGTCTAGGATTCCCCTGATCCCCAGAATCCAAAATCAGAGGGCAGTGGTCAGAGCCCACCCTGGCTTTTGACCATGCAGAGCACTTAGGGAATCTGTCCTCCCAATCATCTGTTGCTAAAATTCTGTATAGTTTCACTAGGATAGGCTGTTTTTGTTTATTAGACCATGTGAATTTAACACCAGAAACAAAGATCTCCATGAGTTGAAATCTCCCAATGAAGTCATTGAATAGAGCCATCAATCTCTGGTCCCCTTGACCAACATTTCTCTCTTTATCATTCCTAATTAGATTGAAGTCACCACCCAATAAGATGGGTAAAGACTCCTTATCGCAGAAATCAGCCAGCTCCTGCAAAAAATCTCCAGAATTCTCGTGTTGAGCAGGCCCATATACATTGATGACCCAAAACCTGAAGTTTGATGATCTAATTCTAATCTGAGCAGCCAGAAAGTAGCTAGTCATCTCAACAAGTTCGATTTCAAGATCATCATTACGAATGCCCAAAATCATACCCCCTGAGTGATCCCTAGCAGGAGTCCAATGCCAGCTGAAATCCTTGTTACCAGCCATCTCTCTCAGCTCCTAATCTTCGAAGCCCTGCTTGATGGTTTCCTGCAGAGCAACAATATCCAACTCCTCTTGTAGAATATGTTCTTTGACTAGATCCCTTTTGTAAGATTTCCCCAAACCTCTAACATTCCAAAAAAGAATCCTCATTGAGAAATTTGAATAGCAGAGGTATCATCTTTATTGCCCACATCTCTGTCACTACGTACTCTCACCCCTGAGAGAGGACTGAGAATGATTCCTTTGAATATTGGAAATGACCTCCATGGTCAAATCAGCTAACTGTTCATCATTTTGAGAGGCATCCCTAAATTTTTGTTTCTCAAGAAAACTTTTGTAATTAGCTTCAGCAATAGCTGCCCTAGCATTCTCCTCAACCCTAAAAACATCTAATTGTTCCTCTAGATCCTCTACTTCTATGTCTAAATCAATAATGACTTTTCCGATAGCATCATTAGAGGTATTATTTAAAATCATAAAAGGGTTCTTAGAAGAAGTACCTATGGTGTCGTTCAAGGCTTTGATCCTGTTAGCAGCTTTGGTAGCAATCGGAATCCCGTCCCTAGGGACCCTACTGCTAGTTCTTATAGCCACCATAACTTGCTTCCTGGTACCCTTCCTCTTCTTCTTAGACTTAGACAATTGCCACCCAGCAGTTTCCTTTTCCAGATCCGAGTCCTTACTGAGCACTGACTGGGAGTCCATCATATCTTCGGCTTCAAAAACATCAGAATGATGTGAAACCCCTTTACTGATGTCAGAACTGTCCAGACCCCCACCTTTGTTGGCCCCCGAAATCAGTGACTCTTCTTGGGTTAAAGCCTCAGTTGGATCAGTCTCTATTGCCTCCAAAGGAAGGGTCAATTTTGGCCATTTGTTCTTGTCCATAAGGTAGCTCCCATCCAGACCATGCACAACGATTTGTTGCTCATTATCGGACCTCAAGGTATTATCCCCGTCAGCAACATTGACAGGCATTTCCACAGAACCCTCATCCCCCTACTTTTAATTGCTGATTAGCCATCAGCCGGTCCTTAGAAAGATCTGGAAATTGTGCAATGTTTCCCCCTGCACCAGACCAATTTCTGGATGAAAAGCCGCAATAGGCGTGACTAGAGTTCCCATGTTTCTCATGTTAATGGACTCACTGTTTTCATTCCCCCAGCTGTTCCTCCATAGAACCATCCCTGCTGGAAATCCATTTCTTTATCTATTTTGCCAAACCTGTCAAACTTGGATGAGGATTTCTTAGAGTTATCTCCTCTGAAGGGTCTATCCTTATCCTTATCAAATGAACCATCTGGTTTTCCTGGTCCAAGAGGGCCTCTTTTCCCTCCCTTAGTCCCACCTTACTTACCCTCAACCTCAAAACCCAGTAACACACCAGTGCCATTGAAGAAAAATTCCAGATCCCCTTTAATAGCTGCCGGGTTTCTGCATCTCCCCTGAAATCTAACCGGACCAGCTCTGATCAGACTAACCTCATCCACCACCAAAGGCTCGGCAACCAAGGCTGCTATCTCCTTCACAATATCAACCTCTCGAGCTGGGCCTGGCACATTAGAGATCCTAATCCACACAGTTTGCAGAACCGAAGACGCTTCAGGATCAGCATTGGAGCGTTCCAGAGTACCCTTCAACCCAAAAAGAGGCATTTCAAAGCACTTAAGCTTGGCAAAACTTTCCAAAGAGTTCTTATCAGGGAAAACCACCAGATATTCTTGTAGGCCATTTTCTTCACTCGGAAATCCCATTTGTTCTGAACCAAATTCTTTAGTTCTTGATCAAGCTTCTCCTCCGTCGCTACACCCTCCAGAATGGTAAGCAAGCCTGTAGCCAGATAAGTTTTGACCTCCACTTCTGGTATGTCAATCGAATAAAAGCCCTGGCCAGGTATGCCGAAACCATACATCTTCAATCTTTTGTTGCTCACATTCTTACAGTCTACCGCCATATGCCCAGACTGTTTGCACTTGTAACACACAGGTTCATTTTCACAATCAAATTGTTGATGACCCAACTGAAGACAGCGATAGCACTTGATATCAGAAGGGACCTTGGGGCGCATACCTTCCTTTTGTAGACCCCCTTTGTGATCATCCTTCCGCTGTTCCTGGCCCTGCTGCCTTGCTTGACGACTCGGTCCACTCTGCTGACCCGGGTACCAGCTCCCCTGCTGTCCCTGCGGTCGAGAGTACTCCGGCATCCCTTGGTTGAATCCCTTTCCACCGAATCGACTCTGCTCGCGGTCACCTTGATTGGGGCCTCTACCACCAAATCGGTCCTGATCCCACTCACCCTGATCTCCACGAGCACTAGAGCCTTCAACCCTCCTTCCCTTGTACCCACCCCTCTCATCCTCTCCTTGAAATCTTGAGCCACGTTGAAGTTGAATCCTCAGGTCTTGTTCTTGTCTCAGGTCCCCTCCAGGTAAATCATCCTCATCCATCCAGTCCTCATACCTCCATTCTTCCTGTCTCCTTTTCCCAGGAAATCGCTGGATCTCCCGATTTGCCATGCTCCGCCCGTGGACAGCTTGAGCAAAGGATTTTGTGAGGGGAGGTGGCTTCGGATGAACCCTAATTTTCCTGGCTGCGTGTCCAAATCGTCGAATATCCTCAAGATGGGATGGGTAATATTCCTCCAGAGAGATACAGCCCTTCGGGATCCAAATCCAGCCCGGTCCAGGGCTCTGGGCCCGCGGTGTCCATGAATGGTCAAACCGTTCATCCCCCCGCCTTTTCTCGTCTCCTACCTCACGCACCGTTGAAGCTGAAGCCTCCCCTGATACAATGGCGCTCCCCCATCGGACGTTCTTCATCCTGGCCATAGCCTCTTCCAATCGGTCACAGGCCCCTTCCAGGTCCTCCAATTGCGATGCCTCGGCCAATTGAAGCCGCTGCAATCGCTCCCCCCCGTGGTCGGGCGATAACCCGATGATTTCTCCCCTGCAAAAAGCGCACCTGGAGCCAGGGTGAGGCGCCTATGGAGACCCTTCTCAGACCGTCCTCCCCCCTGCAACTCCGGCCATGCATCCCCCATGCCATGCCCAGCAACCACCGACGGGATTCCGGAACGCTCACCTCCATGGACGCCGCCATCAGGATTCGTTCCCCTCGCTCCCCCAACAACCGGCGTATCAGAACCCTTCCCCTGAATCGAAGACGCATGAGCCGGAGGAGCACTTACCGCACGCGGAGTGCCACCCCAACCCGTGTTCGGCGTCGAAGTCCCCGGGAGGTTCTCGGCTCGCCAGTCGTCACGCTTCGCGAGGAGAGCTGGGAGAGAGTCTTCCGTTGACCCACTCCCCCCTCCGACGGAGTTCACCGGCGCGGCCTCCGGGACGGCGGGGTAGTTGGGAAGGACGGGCTGAGTCGCCGGTCGCCGCTCTGTTTCGCCCCTCATGGTTCGTTCGGCTAGATCTGGCCTTCAGGCGTCGCCATGTTATTCCCACCCTGTACCTGAATTTTTTTGAGCGCGCTCGCCGATCCCGACCGACGCATCACGCATTCCCTGTGCCTATATGCGTTGGTGCCTATATATATATCTCACGGATGCTGCTACGGCCGATCCATCCTCTCCGCCTCGTCTCCTCTGCCCAGCTCATCACTTGCGCCGCCGCTTCTGCTGCGCTGCTGGTGCGTGAGCGTCTCGTCTCCCTCTCGACCTCCATCCATGGCGACACCGGCGGAGAGCGCGCGGGTGTACTTCGCCAACGCGCTTCTGCCAGCGCCGCTCCCGACCCCGCCCAAGAGAAAGATGCTGCCGCTGCTGCCGGCAACGCGCACGTCGTCCTCCTCAAGCCCAACTCATCGCCGCCCAAGAAGCCGAGCCGCGCCGACACCGACGAGAGGTGGGGCGCACGCAAGGACGCCGGCAGCAACCCGCTCTTCAAGCCTGGCCGCGCCGACGCCGTCGCGAGGTGGGACGCACACAAGACCAAATCTGCTGCCACGGCCGCCCCTGCGTCGTCGTCGTCGTCGTCAGGGTCGGCCAGGAGTGGAAGTCCGGCCGGCCGCGCGCGGCCGAGAGGTGGGACAGCGACAAGAAGACGAGCGCGACGTCGTCCTCGGTGAGCAACGACATGGAGTTGGACACGCCGTGGCGGCAGCTTCTGCCGCGGGCGCTCTACGCTGGACTAGGCTTCATCGCCGCGCCGAAGCCGAGCATGCTTCCCATGCCATCGTCGTTGATGGTGCGCGCTGCATAGATGCAAGCCTACAAGGAATGGTGGACTTGATGATCATCGCCTTAAAGTTACTAAGTTAATTAGCAAGAGCTGCCACGTGGTGATGGGTACTTGTAATCTTCGTTCTATGAGCAATTAGACTAGCAACTAGAATGTTGGATATGTTACCATATACAACTTCGTCTTGCGTTGATCCATGTAATCTCAACTGTGTTGTAATGTTAGTTGATTTAAATTTGCTTCAAGTTCTGCCATTTTTTTAGCGTTTTGCATCCACTGTGTAGTTTCGGCCCAACTCTTTGAAATTAAAACTACCAACTTGTCTACTCCTCTCCGTATGCTGCTATGTGCTGACCGTTGATTTGGATGGCGTTTGTTTCATTTGGCCAATTTCACCTGTAAGACTGTTCCTTTCAAAGTGCAAATTTCAGGCTCGGTCTTATTATGAGGAACAGAAACCTGGACATAATTGGAATTCAAATCAAAGAACCTACAAAAGCCTAAATCGAGAGGCCCCCCATATTTGGAAATATTCATTCGAATCCAAAGAACGAAAAAAATTAGGATAAAATGGAAGTAAGAAGGAAGGAGAAAGAAGTAAAATCCATCTAGCTCCAGTGACCTTCTCTGGCCACCTCCGCTAACACCGGCGAGGTTCGATTAGGATTTCAGATTGGGGAGAGGATATTTGTGGCTTCTTGGTTTAGAGGGATAGATCTCTAGAAGAGGCAGTCCAGCCCACAATGGTGATGGTATGTGGGTGGAATGGTGGCGGCACCGAGGTGGTGGAGGAGGCTGGTTGGGGATGGTCAGCGGTGGGGGAATCAGATCTGTAGTCGCTAGTGGACTAGTGGCATGGCAATGGATCTAGTGGCGATGGTGTCGCTAGATCAGGAGGGGTGACGATGGTGGATCTCATCGTTGTTGCCATACAGGTTAGTGACAAAGGTGGTTGCTGTGATATACCTAGATTGGGAGGGGCAACGATGGAGGTAGGGGGAGAGGCGGAGATTGAGGGAGAATTCAACTGAGTAGGGTGGTTTGGGATTGGAGGAGGAAGAAGACTAAAACTTTTGTTCAATGTATCAGGATGGGGAGGGGGAGGGTTCTCAAAGTATCCTGAATGAGCACACTCTCTGGCTATTTGCTTCCCTGTCAATATGCTCACTAGTCATGGTCTAGCAATTATTCCGAAATTTGAGAATAGACACTCATTAAAACTCACCTTTTAGAGGATGTCGCGAATCTATAAATTATGTTCTTTTTATATTTATTCACTCCCATGATACAATATTCATCCAACTCATCTTCTTAAATAATATCTATTTTTCTATATCAATATCTATCTATTGATCCATCCTATAACAGTATTTTATATATTATATTAAGGCCATCTGTTGTGATGTTTGGCGTGCTCGATAGCCATGGGCAATGAGGACCATGATGTACGGTCATGGTGTGTCTATCTTATTCCCAAATCTACCTTAGAGCATCATCACTAGTTGAAAAAATAATCTCCTTTTTCTAAAACATGTCATATAGGGGAATAAGATAAAAAACTAATACTTTAACATACCCATTTTCTTATCCTTTTTTCCATTTTTTCCCAATCACTCAAAAACCTCTACTATTACCTCAAACTTAGGGGGATGGCCCTTCATCCCCTTTCCCTTTCCCGTAACGGTTTCTTCCCCACATCATCATCCATCTCTTTACATCCGCCACCGTCTCTTCTCGCATCTAGCATCACTGATGGTATGGTTAACTGTCCGGGGGCTGCTGCGGAGGCTGGTCACTGGCTAGAACTGGGTCATCGCAGCCCCAACTATCTTCCCCAAGCTCGCAGTGCCTAGAGTCAGTCATAACCCCAGTTGCCTGCAACTGACCACATTCACCACCGTTGCCACTTCTCCTTGTCCACCGCATATGGAGTTTGCCGCCGCGTTACAAAGCGCTCCAGGGCAGCCTCCTCCACTGGCGATGATGCACCCACGCCATCTCCCTTTGACTATGTCATCGAAGAGGAAGCTCAGACCGATGAACAAGAAGGATGGGTTGAGTAGGCTTTGTCGCACTAGGGCCTCCAGGGGCCGAGCGGGTGAGCTACGATGATCGTCGTGCCGAGGCCACCGAGGGCCGAGAAGGCAAGCCACAACACCAGGGCCACCACTAGGGTTGAGTGGGGCGAGACACGTGGGCCACCATGTCGCTGCCGCTAGAGGAAGAAAGGGAGAAGACCGTTTGAGGGAGAAAGGAAAGGAATGAGAGAAAAGGTTTCCCCCGGAGGGTCACACCTAAATAAATAGATGAGTTTTCTCAATCTACTATAGCAATACTCCACTAAAATCACCAATCATGTTTCTGAATCCCCTAAAGTAGATTTTAAGGAAAAGAAAAAAAGAGATCCGGTGAAGATGCACTTATACATGAGAGGAATTGCTCCTATTTGGATGTCTAGACCTAAATAAAAGATCAGACACCTACGTCAGCCTCACACTCCTCTTCCTACCCAGCCAACCATTCATTCTTTTCCACTCGTCGAAGGCTTAGCCTCACATTTCCCATCTTATCTTCTACTTCTAGTCTTTATTATCCGCACCCAGAACACCACTCTCGCTTCACATCTTCCTCGCTCTCCTCTCACACCAAGCCAAGCGCGCAACACAATGAGTTTGTCCATGCTTTCCGCCATCTCAAGATGAAGTGGTTCAAAATGAGCTCGACCATGTTTGCCATGTGAAGACAAAGCGATTCCTCGTTGTGAATCCTAGAGGGCGAGCGTTGTGACACAAGGACAGGGGCAGCGCCAATGCCGGCAAGCTCTAGCACACAGGTCGAGCCCTACGCCCCTCTGACTTCGAGACTAGGCCCATTTTCAAGAAAAAAGACTTCGAGACTAGCCCTTTGAAAGGTCCTTGTTTGGTTTTGGTAATTAAGTGATAACCTTAGGTGTACTAATATGTGGTTGAGTGAGATACACACGTGATTAGTCCACAAGTACATGTGTGTGAGCAACATATGCCATGATGGTGAAGATGGCTCGGAGTTGTTGCAAAGCTTACACATGTGATGATGAAGGAGCTCATTGCACATGAGACATGACATTGAGTCATGAGATCAAGGTGGAGAAGATCAAGACATGACTTGGCTCGATGGACTGGTTGCAAGTGTGAAGGGCAAGTTGAGTGATGACTTGGCGCCTATGGACCGAAGCAACAATGAAGAGCAAGTGAAGTCAAGATCGATGAACCAATACGATCACGTGATGATATGGAGTGGATCATATCATTGTCGATCATGTTGTTGCATGTGTTGCATCAACATTGAAGGAGTTCGAATGGAATGCACAAGGTTAAGGTATAACCTAGGGCATTTCATTTCACCGGTCATAGGTGTGTAGAGAAGTTTATGACCGTGTTTAGGATAGATGGCTATACTATCAAGAGGGGCAAACTTGTTTGCATATCGGTCATCTAGTGCCACTTGAGCAATCTAACTTTGCATACATGTTAGGATTGAGTGGCGTGGCAAGTTGAGTGGCTAACTCCTTAAAAATGATTATGAAAATGATAACACACATACACATGGTGTTGTACACTTGCTGGTGTTGGCACATCTGCAAAGGAGAAAGAAGTTGGAGTTGAAACGGATCAACTCGGTGAAGAAAAGGAGGCGAAAGGAGGTCATTGTGAGTGACCGGATGCTGGCCTTGGTAGGACCTGCGCATTCGGTCAAGTGGCAGCAGAGAGTGCGCGGTCTTGGTCTTGTGACCGGACGCTGGCACAAAGAGTGACCTAACACGTAGGAGCCGTGTCCAGTCATCTCTGACGTACGCTGACGCAATGGCGCGGGCGTAGCTCTGACACGAGGCAGGCGGTGAAGGACCGAACTCTAGTGTTGCGTCCGATCGTGACTCACCTGACGCATCCAGACGCAAAACAGAGGCTCAGGGAGCTCTCTGGAAACGACCGGACTTAGGCGGTGGCACGTCAGGTCGTGGAGCAGAGGCGTGTCCGGTTAGGTGTTGGTGGCGCACGCGCAGCGGTGATCTGACGTGTCAGGTCGTGGGCTTGGCACATCCAATCGTCTTGACCATTGGCGCGTGAAGTTACCGTTGAGATCGGGCGGCTCCGGTTGAACGTAGAGCGACACGTGGACGGCGTAGCGCAACCGGTCACCCCGAATTGTGCCTAGTGAAGGGGTACAACGACTCTTTTCATGTGGAGGCTTATAAATAGCCCCTTGATCGGCCTTTGGACGTTAGCTGAGCACACTAGAGCCTTGGTGGCTTATGTGGTGGTGCTTGGGAGCCCTCTAACACACTCTTGCTTGATAGTGTTCATTCGATTGAGTGAGTGAGCGAGTCTAGTACGATTGCATCATGAGGTTGCATCGAGTGGTACTAGGTGATTGTATTGCAAGCCGGTGGTGCTTTTACTCTTGGAGGTTGGCACCTCCTAGATGGCTTGGTGGCTTGTGACTCCGTTGAAGCATACGAGAAAGATTGTGCGGTGCTCCGGAGGAGGATTTGTGAGGGGGATTGTGCTCACCCCGTGGGGATCGCGAAGATCAACTCTAGTTGAGCGTGTCATTGAGCTACCCTCACTTTCAGCGTAGGTTCTTGTGGTGCCCGACGTGCGGGCTTGGTGGGTGATGCCAATTAGCCACCGAACCACCAAGTGAGCTGTCGACACAACGGGGACGTAGCTTGGTGGCAACCAAGTGAACCTCGGGAAAAAATCACCATGTCAACATTGTCTTTATCATCTTCTCGGTGGTTTGCATTCCGTGAAACACAAGCTTGTATTACTTTCATATACATTGTGCTTGTGTAGCTGCTCTTTTAATTAGTTGTCTTATGTAGCTTGCTAGTAACCTTCTTGCTTGTGTAGCATAGAAGTAGCTCCCTTGCATGGCTAATTTGGTTTTAGTAATCTTGTTAGTCACTTTGCTTAGTTTGTGTAGCCAAGTAATTTGCACTCTATAATTTGGTTTGTATAGCCTTGTTATTGAGCATTGCT